AACCTTCAATTAAAAAAATTGAAATCTTTCTTTCGAAGCAGAATGGCAAGCAGATATGTGCCCTCTATATATTTAAACATATCCTGGACATTGTCCTGGACAATGTTTTGACTGTACCTTTGACACGGATGTTGACTTTTCATGTCAAGCAAGGGAAAGCCCCTTCTCATAGTAGCCAAGATAGATTTTGCATCAGCAAGTATTTGCTGCTCTCTGCTGGACGACAATGAAGGATATTGTTATAAATATATACCATCCATTTTCGAGACGCTATTTAATAAGACCTAATAAAACCAGAAGCAAACGATGAGGGAATATATCACCATTTCCACTGAATGTCTGATGTCTGCGATTATTGCTATTGGCTGTTTCGTCAAGAATCGAGAATGTCCCTCGAGTTCCACAAGAGCAGGATGTCAAAGTGATTTGTTGCTGCATTATTACAAGGTGCAACCGATGTCATCAGACAGTGTAATGCGTGCAAGTATCATGTGATGGTGTGTCTGGGAATGGAAAGAAGCTCGTGGCAATTTTGTTGTCATATCATTTGCCATCATTAATTAACAGAAATGCTTTGCTCTTTGCTCTGAGCAATTTCAACTATTGTTCTGTAATCTGTGTCTGTGTGCGTGCGCGTGTTAACGAGAGCGGCAGAGGGGAGTGTTTTTGAATGGCTTATGCAATCGTTCTATTAGCTGACCCAGGGCTTTACCACGCAGATCAACTCAGTTTTGCATTACTATAATAGCTTCTTCTGAATAGATGAAAATGTTTAATTAAGTTGCTCATTGTTTAACGTTGTGCCGTGTTTTCCGCTCCCTGGGCTCATTGTGTAATTATGTGCACAGTAGATGCATTTCAGTGTTTGTATCTGTTCGATGTATTTGAAAAAGGCTCGATTCAGGCAATGGGGAACATTGTGTGTTCACAGTCAGTGCATATCCTCCCCCTACTACTTACTATGAGATGGAGATGCAGCTGTAGTTACTGCACTAAAAACAAGGCAATTGCTGTACATTTCTTCATAGATTCACCTTTTTGCTCCCCCCCCCCACACACACACACACACACACACGGCGCGCGCCTCAAAGAACTAGCAGCCCTGCGTAAAAGCAAAAAATAAATACATACATAAATTTAAAAACTTGACGTGCATGAAATATACAGTATTTTGCTTCTAATGAAAGTGCAGTGTTGCTTAATTAAAATAATTTAATTAGATTCATGTAACTTGTCATATATTTAGGACAATTAAATGTTGCACTTTACAGTAAGGTCGAACATTGGGTAAATCTACATGGTTAAGTATAAGGTGGTAATCTGAGCTATTTTACATCAGCATTTACCGAGTTTTGGACTTGTGATAATGTCGTATGTGTTTGAAATTGCCCCCCTTTTTGCCCCTGCTTCAATGTCGTTATGGCGTTTACCACACAGTATCTTGGTCATGCAGTGCATTGCACTGAAGACTGAATAAGAACAACACATTCAGCAGACCTGCGATTGGCTGGCAACCAGTTTGGGGTGTCCCTCACCTATTGCCTGAAACCATCTGGGATAGGCTCCAGCACACCCGCGACCCTTGTGATGAGAAGCGGATCAGAAAATGGATGGATGGATGGATGGACATTCAGCAGACTAAACCCGTTCTTGAAGGAATAAGATTTTTTTTGTGATGTGGACGTGATTGTAGTTATCTTCATTTTTTTTGGGATAAATCATCAGAACAATGACTGGACTTAAGTTATCAGTTGTAAACACTAAAACAGTGGCAGCTCTCTTGATTAAACGTGTAATTGGCTTGCCATTTCTGAAGCTGGGTCAATATGAGAGGGAATGGTTGATGCGAAGCACAAAATCTTGTGTTTCGTTTGCAGCGACTTAATGCCAATGTTTCCTGCAGGTGAAAGGCAACTTTTGCATGGCTGAGTTTAGACCACTTGGCAGTCTGGAAAGTTTCCTTGACTCTTGGCACAATGAAGTTCCGCAAGTACATCAGTGAAATTCCTTAACTTTGTGATCTTTATTTTTCATCTTTGGGAAGCTGTAAATCTTTTACAAAGTTCATCTGTAATCAACCATGCAGTGCCCCCAAAAAAAATGCAAGTCGTCCCCACATCCTCGTCTGTCTAGCCAGTGGGCTATTAATGTGTATAGCTTTCATTTGTGCAACCTATCTAACGTATTCCTTCTCAAGTCACATGAAAAATGCAAGTCACTCTTTTGACTTGGGATAGGGTTTAAACTCCTTGTCGCATTTTGAAAGGCGTTCTTTCAAGTTCTGTAGTTGCGAGTTTTGATATTAAGCTAGAGCTATAATATCACAGTGAGCCAAGTATCTGTCACCAGTGTCGCTATGTTTGAGCTCAATTTTCCCAGGTTCTGGCATTGTTTCCCTTCTGATGTCATCCTGCACTCGCTAATCTTTGCTGGAGGTGCATTGATGCTTTGCACATGCATAAAAAATAGCTCCATACGTTTTGAAAGTTGTGCACGTCCTTGCTGTCATATTTCCTTATGTCCATTGCGTTGGAAAGAAGGTTGAGAATTTTATCTGCCATAGGGCCCCGCTCTGAATGAAGATGGCTCAATACACCAAAAAGAACAATAAAGTTTTTGACAACTAATATGGAGTATATGTACATTTATGTGTTTATTGGGAAGAGGGAAACATCAGAGACAGCGTGGCATGCAGGCAGCAGTGGTTTGTGAGGTTGTGCAGTGCACGGTTCCAAAGAGGCGAGAGTATGCAAGAGCAAGGGAGCAGTCACACTTGTTGTTGTTTTATGTAGTTCTGTTACTGTGAACAAGAAGATAATTCCCCAGAGGAAAACACAGGCTGAGTCTGTTGTCATATTTTTTTTTTCTGCACTGAAGGGAATAGGGGAATTAGCACCCCATCCAGACCATGAGTTGCAGTCAGAGCTGGCGAACCTGCATGCATGGTTCAGAAAACACCAATAAATTAAGGAATGTTGACGGTGCTTATTCTATTGCTGTTATTCAATAGAATCTCAATTCTGACAAACGTTTCTGTGGTACAGTTACATTTGGGTGTGTATTTGTAAGCTTTCAGGTGATGGATGAAAAAAAAATTAATGTAGAATATGCATGAGCAGCTCCAATCTGAATCGGCATGTGACAAGGCTCATACAGCATGAATGAGCATTAAGATGTTAATGTAACACTGTGCTGTTCTGGATCTGTGCCATGTAAACCACTGACCAACTATTTATAGTGTGCTGGTAAGAAGGGATGCTCCAAAATGTTGTGGAAGGACTCTGGAGTTAAGTACGGGAAATATATTTCCTCATCCTCAGTCAAATTTTCTATAAACAACCAACTCAAGCATCTTAAAACTGATGTGCCTGATCTGGCAAAGACATGTGGGCTAATTTCCATAGTTTGTATGAAAGAGCCATAAGACGAGAGGTGAATTTTGAGAGAGCATTTTTCACATCAAAGTATTGAAAATTGTCTTTCCACCTGCTATGACAATCAAGGAATACAGTGATGCTGTCCAGGCCTGCAATATGGAGTGATATTGATCCGGATGAGGAATATGTCATGGTGGGGGATATTCTTTTGATCTACAAATATTAGAAGGTTGCCACAATGAAGAGCGGTACTTGAAAATGTGTTCTAAATGAGGGGCTCCACATTTGTAAATATGGAAGGTCAGTGCTTTTATCATCTCCATCCCTCCATCAGCATGGACAAATGAGAAGAATAGGCTGGACGTGTCAAGGCAGAGATGTGTGTCAAATTCATGGACTGACTGCACGGAGATCAAATTTCGTTCCTTCTTGTCCTTATTAGGGTTAATGCTAATTAGGCTGAGAGGCTTTACACCCTGGAATGGTCGTTGATCAATCGCAGGACACACTAACAACACTAACAACCATTCACACTCAAATCGCATTCATGGACAATTTGTTGAACCAGCAGATGACCAGGTTGAGCGTTGCCAGGGGTGCCATGGGTCTTCTCGCATAGAAGCTTGCCTGTCTGTCATTCTAGGCATTGTCATTGTCTATGATGTGCCTCAGGCTCTGGAGGTTGCAGGTCAAGGGCTGTTGTCACCTGTTAGAGTGGTGAGACCCTGCACCAACACGCCGTTGGTTCTGTTCCTTCTGCTTCCGCTCTCTCCAAGAAGAGGTTCACTGCATAGCGACAGTTTGCCTTGGAGGTGGATTATTGATATGCTAGTTGGAGGAGGTGACCCTCGCCTTCCTGCCTCTACTAGGGTTTTCCGTCTGCCCCGTCTGTGCCGGTGCTTTCCCGGGATGATGATGCTGTTTCTCTGGCTGCCTCTGAGTCTTGTTTCCATAGTTTGGAGGCTGGAGTCGGCCTGTGAGCCAGTCTCCCTGTACTCTCAAGGTGCTTGTCGTGTGGTGCGGGGGATGGCTCGATGCAGGCTGTTTTGGGAAGTGACCTCCAGCGCCGACCTTTGCATCTGCCTAAACAGTCACAGTAGCCTTCTGAGAGTGCCGTCTTCCGACAAGGATGTCCTTCTTCTGCCTTTTCTGTCCCTGCGTCTAGGTGCTATTTGACACAGTTCCATTTGTTCTGGGGTGAGACCGGGACTTGGCTTTTGGGCTGGCGTATATGCATGACACTGCTACTTCAGGTTTAGCTCAGACGCCTGCCATGGCTTTCCTCATTGTGTCCCCAGAGGTGACTCTTTGTTAGTCTACGCGGGGCGATGTTGTTTTGCTTTTTTTCAAACGGAGTTAGTGTACTTCGAGCCACAAGCCGCCTGCAGATGGCAGTGTCAGTGTGGAAACAGTGTTGTCCAGGAAATCTTTACTGCCATATGCATTTCAACTAGACTTCAATCATTTAAACTCAAATATTTTAACAAATTTTAGCTCATATTTTTGACAATGAGAGCAGCCTAACAAAGTCAAAATCACATGACTTCACAGGTGGCCAAATTGATGTAACAAAGGACAGACAGTCAAATGCGGATCTATAAAGGCAGTTGTTTGTCTTTAATCTGCACTACGTTATGTATTTTTTTGTGGAATAGTCACATAATTTAACCTGAATTGGGCAGTACTCACCACTATTGTGTCAAAAATTTCTTGCCTCTTGTTTTTTAACACTTACTTGCAAATGTTTGGTGAATTCAAGCTGCAGGCTACATGTTCTTATACAATGTATATTAACGTTCCACGTGCTCATAATAATGAAAGTATTCTATTCGAACTAATTTTACATTGGGTATTTTTTATGTATACAGGTGACCATGACGGATGTCAAAGTGAAGTTGGAAAATGATGTGAAAGAGAACAAGTGGTATGATAATCTTCAATCAAAATCTGTTAGTTAGGAATCAACACAAGACAAAATGCTGTATATATTTTGAATAATATTTAAACATGAACTTGTCACTACCTTCTCAGGCTGCACAGAGAGCTGACGGAGGCAGTCACAAATGAGCTTCAGTTGCTACCATTGACTTCAGGAGCAGAGTGTAACATAGTAGAGGAGAACGGATTTATCGATAACTATGAAAGTCAACTCCAACTTTTCAAGCAGGTCTGCATGTGTTTTGCTCTTGAGTTGATTGTATATGGAATAATAGTGCAGGGAATAATATATCCACATAAAATATTTGGCTGAGTTCAAAGAAAGGCCCAACTTCAAGGGATAATATACACTAGCCTCTTTTACATACATTATCTACATTATATAATGATTTCATGTATTTTCAAAGATTCCGTTTGACTTTCCATGTTTAACTTAATTGTGCATAATTTGTGATTTATGCGGGAAGTTGTGCTTTTTCAAAACGGTTTTCTGGGTTGTGGATTCTAAAATGTTTTCTAGTCTTTAACATCCACATGTATAAATTGCTTTGAATGTGTATCACTCGTGTATTTTATGCATTTGAATAGGAGCGGATGCAAGTCACGGAGTTATGGCAGACTGCAGCACAGGAGCTTGACCATCTACAGGAGTTCTACCAGAAAATGTTCACTAATGGACTCAATGCCAACGCTACAGGACAACAGCTCATGCCAGTATTTCCATTTTAATATTTAGAGTTTTGATGCAATTTGACGATTGACCCCAACACTGTGCGCAAAAGAACGATACCCTTTCTAATATTGCTTTTTGAATGGTGTTACGTTTGTCAAGTATCCTTCCAAAATAATTACACAGAGAACCTACATAGTTCTCCAGGCTTCAGCATGATGAAAAATGTACAAATGCACTGTATCGTGTGATGAATGTGAACCTCTCTCGCTTATGCTATGATTTAACATGTTGACGTCACTTTCAGGCGACTATTTGACACATGATTGTTGCCAACAGTGGTCAGACAAACACCAAGGGACAAATGACAAACTACATAGATTTGAAATGAATGTGTGACCGAACAGAATCAATTAGGGATATAGCGTCAAGAGTCCCAACTGGATTTTTTTTTTTTTCTTTTCACAGAGCTGAATTGTAGCATAAGTCAATTTTGAGTTTAAATATATGGTCATATATTGAAGAATAATTGCTCATATATCACTCGCTACCACATATTGGTCAACTTGCAATTAGGTTCAACAACCCTGGGAACTCTGAGCAACGTATGCAGTACAGAAAGTTGATGGATACAATAAAATATATGCTTGAAATCATGCCACATTAATGCCAATCATGTGTCTTTTTGTCACTCACAGACAAACTGTAATTTCCTAAAGACAGCAACAGGACACAGTACAGAGTTGGAGGACCTACAAATCCAGCTCAGGTAATTGCATATCTGATTCACTCTAGTCTAGCTGTTGCAACATGCATTTTTTAAACCAAAATAGCCCTGCAATTGGCTGGCAGCAAGTCCAGGTTGTACCCCGCCTTTCGCCCATAGTCAACTGGGATAAGCTCCATGTCACCAGCAACCACAATGACAACAAGAAAAGATGGATAGATGATCACCGTTTCGCATCTAAAGGCAACATTATACTGTATCAGTCACAACAATGACAGATTTTTTTTTCTCATTCTTCTTCCTGGTCATGTCACACATTTTTACAGCACACGTCACAATTCCTAGAGCGCCACCATTTGAGCTCAGTGATGATAATTTGGATTACGCTCGTCACCCCCTCAAGACTGTTATGGCAAACTGTCATACACCTGGACGGAGTGGCATCAAGATCGCGATGTCGGGTGGCTTAAAAGTAATCACGAAATAAGGCCTGGCTAACGAGTATGCTGTGTGTGTCTTGTGTTGGAGAACAACCAAAGCTGATCTGAGAACAGCCATAGCCAAAGTGGATGAGATGACCCGACAGCTCCAGTCTGTTCAGGACCAGCTAAAGAGACAGGTGAACAAAGAAATGCGGTATTTTGAGTCTGATATACATGGAGAATTTCAGGGCTAAAACAACCTTTTCATACTTTTCATAATTTGATTTTTATCCACATTATCAACAAAACATTCCAATGTTTTTTTTTTCATTTTAATTTTCGACAAGTTATTGTGGCTTTCAGTCATAAAGTAATTGCTATGGTTTTCTCCATATTCCACAATTCTGTCAAATCTTTTTGCCAGAGTGGCCTTTCCATAGATTTTTTTTGGTCACAAATTTTGGTCAATGCATGTAGTAAAAGCACTTTGCCAGGCCACTGTTGTTGGATAAGAGGGTTCACACATTCTCTGGTACTTCTGACTAAGTATGTTTGATTGCGTACAAATCAGGGCTGGTTTCCGTCCAGTCAAGTTTGTGAACATCAAACTTACTCCCTCTGCTTTGTGCACTGGAGATCAACTGAAAATTACCTCTATCCTGCTCTCACACACAAAGTCAACTGTACGAAATACTCATCCTTAAATAATTAAATCGAGTCAGTACTAGGGTGTCTAGTTCAAATCCTGATTGATTGGTGAAAATCTCAGGAAGACTTTTATCCATATAGTGTTTGTAAACCGTAATGCGCTCGCTGTAATATCTTTAACACTGTAACGTGCACCAATATCGTGATGCTGTATTGAAATCAATGTGCAGAAAAAGCTCTACATAGTCTGCTACCAGATCTGGCTTTTCTGAAAAGTGCAAATGCAATGCACATTCAGGAGGAAGATGAAGCAGAGGCACGGAGTCGAGAGGAAGCAGCACTGAGACAAATCCAAACCCTTCAGACAACCATCAGCGAGCAGGACACCAGGTGAGTATGAAAAAAAAGGTTTTATATGCAAACATTTACTATTCTTACTTAATTGTTTTAATTATTGTTTAAATATATGGACAGGTCGTTCGATGATTTTCTGATCAGCTCTTGATGTTTACATTTGCTCAGAATAAAACTTGCATCTCAGGAGACAGAGGCTGCACTCAAAGAGCAATCTATGTGGGAGAATACAGCAGGGAACCTAAAGGCCCGCTGCGCTACGTTAGAACAGGAGAAGTATGAGGGTCTGGACAAAGTGCGAGAGTGTGTTCAGATGGCTGAGGAAGCAACACTGCAGAAGGATGAGGTACATACAGTATATACTTGCTCTCTTTGTACCTTTCACCAGAACTTGATTTCCAGTTAAAAATATGTACATCAGGTACTGTACTTTCATTTGCATTGTTGTGAAGAGCCCCATCAGATAAAAAATAATAATACGAGTAATATAATGCAGAGGAGTGTTTATGTTATGAAATTAAAGTGTTTTTGGTGTTACTGGCATATGCCAATTTTTTTTCGGTCGCCTAGAGTGCAGTTATGAGGCAACTTATATTGAACACTGTTTGGAAATGAGTGACCATGAAAAATAAATAGCCATTTTGTTGCTCCTTCCCTTTCTGTGACTTGTGGATAAGTGAGTTCCAACCACTGTGTCGTGACACAGTCTGCGGTCAGAGACCACAGTATTCACTACAAAAAAGATGATGCAGGGGCTACGAATAGTGGAGCCAAAGCTGCCATCGGCCGTAAGCGTGAGCCTAAGTTTTTACTGCAATTTTAATATCAGCTTAAGCAGCAAAATTGACAAAAGAGCGAGTGCTGCCGTTAAATTTGATCCAACACGGCAGCGTAAGTTGATGATGTAACGCGCTATGTTCCAATTCTGCAGTTTTCACACACTTGTAACATGCACTCGTGAACGCTACATGTACAGTACGTCTTTCTGTGCACTTCATGGAGGGCTATAGGGAGTAGTGTGGGAATTGAGATCAGGCCCTAGTATAAGGAAATGGGCACATCTAATGTTGCTGACGTCAGGTAGACGTCTCAAGGTTACGACCTAAATTTGAGCGGGGCCAAAATTTGCTTAAAACCAACAGAAATAAGACAGTGTTAGGTAAGAGCTTCTTGGGAAATTGAGTCTGAACTCCAATCACTGAAGCTTTAACTTTCTAACCTGCCGGCCGACCTTCCATTTGTCCCCCACAGGCTCAGTTGACGGCAAAGCGTTTGACAGAGGAGCTTGAGAAGACAAAAAAGGCCTTTCGACAGTTGATCCAGGATGCTACTCTTTGCTCCAAAAAAGAGGTAGAGAAGAATGTATGTGGTTTGGAAGCAAAAACTGCTGGCAAGACTTTCAAACAAATTTGGATGTCAAAGTATGCCAGTTTGAAAATGTACTTGTCATAAATTGTATAACAGCTATCGTCAAGAACAGTATTAGTCACCATTTTAGTGTTATATTGGTGACAATAGTCTGTTAAGAGAGGTCCCAGCTCACAACAAATCGCTGAACTAAATTTGCCATACTGACTGTACTTTACTTCTTACTTCTTTAACAGCTGAATAATATGCGTCAGCAGTGCAACACTGAAATGCAAAGTATGGCTGAGGAATTGTCTCGATTGCAACTGGCAAGTTTTTACCCTGCTTAGTACGAATTTCTCTCAATGTCATTCTTTGTAAGCATTGTTTTCCAACACCTGGCTTTACCTGTATGTTCTTGTTGTTGTTCACTGTAGGAATGTGTGGAAAAACAATCTCAGATTGAGAGGTCGAAGCGAGAGAGAAAAGCTTTGGAAGAAGAACTGGCAAAGGTAGATGTTTAACTGTAGCACAAGAAGAGACAGATTAATCCGAATCCAAAGTCCTTCTTATGTTTTATTATGCACACCAGTGGTACAATAAGCTTATGCAATGCTTTTTTTTTTTTTTTTAAGGTGACCAAGTGCAAGGTAGAGCATGAGTTTAGGAAAATTGACGCCCTTCACCAGAGGTGTCTAAAGGCAGAGCGGATGAAGGATGAAATAAGCATCACTTTGCAAAGTACCCAAAGCAAACTAAAAAAGTTGGAAGTGGAGTAGGTGGAATAAGATTCACTGTTTTTGAAGCCAGTCAGTGATTCATCATGTCACCACGACAGTGTATTACACTTATGATAACACAGACCCCTTCAAAGATAGCAGTCGGCGAACATGTATAAAATTTTGTTCCATTATCGTCTTTCCTTTATCCATATTTCTATTTTTAGCTACAATGAGGAGTTGTCCCGATGCCAGGAAGAAGTGCAGCAACTAAAGGGCTGTCTGACTGCAGCAAGGGAGGACTGTGCCAGAATCAGTGATGAGCGACTCCAGTTGCAACAGGAGAATGTTCAGTTCCGCAGAGAGATGGATGAGCTGCGCAAGGCTTCCTTGCAGGTCCAAAAGAAGGCCAAACAACAGGTACACTTAAGAATTTAAGGAAAAATGTGGAAAAATATCCATCCATCCATTTTCCGATCCGCTTTATCCTCACAAAGGTCGCGAGGAGTGCTGGAGCCTATCCCAGCTGTCTTCGGGCAGAAGGCGGGGTACACCCTGAACCGGTTGCCAGCCAATCGCAGGGCACACAGAGACAAACAACCATCCGCGCACACACTCACACCTAAGGACAATTGACTATTCAGTCAGCCTGTCATGCATGTTTTTGGAATGTGGGAGGAAACTGGAGTACCCGGAGAAAACCCATGCAGGCCCGAGGAGAACATGCAAACTCCACACAGGAAGGCTGGAGCCGGGATCGAACCCACGACCTCTGCACTGTGAGGTTGACACGCTAACCACTCGACAACTGGGCCGCCCTCAAAGAATGACCCCCATCCATCCATCCACTTTCCGATCCGCTTATCCTCACAAGGGTAGCGGGGGGTGCTGGAGCCTATCCCAGCTGTCGTCGGACAGTAGGCGGGGGACACCCTGAACCGGTTGCCAGCCAATCGCAGGGCACACAGAGACAAACAACCATCCGCGCTCACACTCACAGTGGAGAAATATGTCACGGCGAAAAGCGTACAGTTCAGCCAATAAAGCAGAGTACCTGCACTGTTTTTTCCTTTTCACTTTCTCTACTCTTACATTTACATGCCTGGACCAATTTAGGGACATTGGCAAGAAATAACGGTTGAATGGCAATACTGTACTGTGTTGTTCAAAAAAAATTGAAAAAGAGATATTAAGAAGATAACACTGATCGATGTGCTGCACTTTGCTAGGTTACACAGATGGCGCAAGAGTATAGCATTAAGGAGAAGACACTAAAAGCACAGATGAGTGACCTGGAGGAGCGCAGTCACAACTCAAGTGCTGATCTGATGCGTCTTCTGACAGCACAGCAGAAAAGTATCCAGCGCTGGAAAGTGGAGGTCCCAAACATGGCCCAGGCTTTCGAATGCAGGATCAGAAATCTGACGTAAGAACCAAAAATAACAGATTGAAAAGGATAGACATTGGCAGTGGAATGTGATTTGAGACCAGACAGTTGTATAAAAAGGGCATTAAATATATCAATTTTAATGACTCTATGATGATCGCAAATGATCAATTTCTTTGTGTCTTTTTTTTCCAGAGAAGAGCTGGATCAACACCAGCAACGTTCACGTGAGTTTGAGATCCAGCTAAAAAAAAACAACAATACTATTGTGAAGGTTAGTAAATGAGTGAACAAGTGAGGTGAATGATGTGGTCCTTGTGTTTCAGCTTTCTCCCACATTCCCAAAAAACACGAATTTCAAACTTTAATTCTCGCCCAAACATTAAATACAAGATCAGTGTGAATTCTTTGTCTGATTTTTGTCACATGCGCGATGGGAGAGGACCCAGAAAAGCAGAGAGGCAGGAGAAGCAGGGCGGACGGAACAAAATATATTTACAAAAACACTTACAGGGGCACACTAGACAAACAAAATCAATAACAAAAACAAAGGCCTCAAAGTAACAATCAAACAAAAACCCATGACAGCAACACAACGATCCGACCACAAATGGTTGGCGAGACAGTCCTTATAGTAGTGTAAACAAAGAGCTGATGACAAAATGACCAACAGATGCAACGCTGGAGCAGAAGTCCTCCGATGCCACCTAGTGGAGGCAACAGAACAAAACATGACAATTTTGTGACCTCCAAATGATTGGGGTTCAGTCCAGTAGTTTTCCTCCTCTCTCACTGCGAGTGATAGATAGGCTCTATCTACCTTACGAACCGAAATACAATAAGCGGTATCGGAAATACCTGATTTGTTAAAGTATGCTTTAATAAATGCCAGCATAGACACCAAAAACTGACAGTATGCTTGCATAGTCTCCTCGTACTGCAGATAAATGCAGATAGGCGATATATTCTCTTTATTCTATTTGTGCAGTATGAGAGACAGCTGTCTGAATTTCGAGACAAAGCCAGTCGCCTCCAGAGACAACTCACTGAAGTTGAGGAACGCACGACACCTTCACAACAGGTACGACTAATGATCAGGACATTGTGATATGCGATATTATGGTGACTATTTAATGGCCAATGGTGTCCAATGGCCTACATGACAACAGCTTAGCTGTACCATCGACCTTCATTAAGTATTTTCGAGGACAGTCAGAAAGATGTCAATTCATCATTAATATATTGTGCCAGTGTGTTGTAAAACATGTTAAAGAAAAATAGAGAAAACCTAATCATAACGTTTCTGACCAAACAGGAACGTGAATATGGCATGCATATGATCTGAAGTACAAAGTATTCAAGTATGTAAAGATGCAAGAAAAAGTAAGTAAATCCTTTTGGTTCACGTTGCGTAGTTCTTCATGGAATATAAAACTTGTTTTTAATTGGACTCGAGGTTGGCTGACACCTGTTCCTAATTAACTCTTAGATAAGTCTTGAGCCTCAGGATTCATGTGCTCCATTTTTTTCCCCAATGTTTACATGATGTGTCCAATGAAAACAATCATTAGTGTAAGCAGACTGTGTCTGTTTTTGTGAATTAGATGAAGATCGGATCACCTTTGAAGACCCAATTTATTCAAAAATCCAGGTAATTCCCAAAGCATCCACACACTTTTCCTTGCAACTATGGTAAGTGAAAATTAAATTGATGTTGATTCTGTTCTTTTCCCGACAGCTGTTTTGCCACTTCAGCGGGTGAAAAGTCTTGATGAACACTTAACAGCCACTCTTTCGTATATAGAACATTTAGAATAAACACAATAGAAAATGCAAACACTAAATGTGTGCAATGGAAAATTCACATTTAATGATTTACCACAAAACCTCTCCAATTCCAATTTCTTTTGTGATTACTAAACCAGTGCATAAATGGACAAACACCCCCCCCAAAAAAAAAAAAATAGAAATGAAATAAAATGAAAAGCATTGTCACAGTCACAATAAACAAAACAAACAAAAACCAAATATGCCACTGATGTTTGAATATGTGGTACTCTTGAAAAATCTAGAAAGACATGCAATACACTTTGTTCAATTAGATCAAAGGACTAAGCCAAAACCACTGGCACCAATGTACAAAAAACACATTTCTATATTAGTGACATGTGAACACACGCAGATGCACATTGTTGAACGCAAGTCCAGGAAATCGATGAGAGAGAGGACAAACGAGTTTCTGAGATGCTCAGGGTTTCCCCTTCCACAGTTCAGACTCCGGCTGCTCCCAGCCATGCCCCATGATGCTCTGCAGGCGGAAATCGCCAAAATACTTCAGGGCGTGGCTGAGAGAAAAGAGAGAACATAAACATAATGCACAATGTATACAGTATGCATCCATGTAGGGTAAACAATTTCAGAGTGTAAATGCTTACCAAAGTGTTGTCTTACACATCAAAACAATTCATTTGCATTTCTAAAAGTCTTAAAAACAATGATCGTAGAAAGGGTTCTGTCAGTCGTCATCTGTAGAACCCTTTCTACGATGGAACTTTCCTGTACGACTGAGAGCCTCCACAAGCATAAAAACAATGATGTAAGATCTGGTGATGTATTATGGATTTTTTTTTTCAATACAATTCTAATATTCTCACTAAGTAGATTGAGTTTACAATTCTAATCGTGCCGTAGGACGGCATGGTGGCCGAATGCTTCGCACATCTGCCTCAGAGTTCTGATATGTGCTCCTGCTCACCCGTGACCTGAGTGACAATAAGTGGAATAGAAAGTTGATGGACAGATGGCTAATTGTGCCATTTGCATGCCAATTCACCGAAATACATTACAATACGCATTGATCTGGTTCAAAACTGTCTTACAATTTCACGGCATATCCAATTTGTTCGCGTACTAATTAGCTGGAAAAGAAAAGAATAGCTTTGCTATGAATAAAAATTAAGTTCATGCTTTACAAGTATACAGTACTTACAAGTTCGGCTTTTGTCCTTCGACTAGCTCATCACTGGGGATAGGGTAGAGTGCTTCATATGTGCGCTTCACTCCAGAGCCATGTATAGCATAAGAGTTCATCTTGTTCACATTGGGAGGAAAGTAAATCCAGGGAAGGAGAGCCTCACCCATCCATGTGTCTCCAGTGACTGTCGAATTGAAAACCATCGGCAGTTGTTGCTGGAACAGGAAACAAGAGTAATACTTTCAAACATGGCACAGCATTAATGAACCCTTTTGATTACTTGTTTTACATCTGCCTACTTGGAATGCTTGGCCGACCCCTGACAGCAGTAATACCAAGTGCTGACCATGTCTAAAGCAAAATCACAGAAAGCGATACAAGATTAAGTGGAAGTCTCAGTATTCATTTATTAGACATCTATTGGTGTGTCAAATCGAAAAGCAAGTTAAAATTTTACTTACGGACAAATCTCCACCTCTAGGTAATTGTCTGTAGTACTATCAAGAAAGAAGGACTCAACAACTAAGAAAATAAAAGAAATATTTCAATTTTCTGCACCAGACTAATCAACATGCAGCATACTTTTTAAAACCTCATACCACACACTCTTATTTTGACGATGCGTTTTTGTTTAATATAAATTTTAATTGAAATTGTTCCTAAATAAACACATACACTGTAATTTTGGCTGAGCTGGACCCACCTTCATAATCCCAGAGTCCAGGGAAGGGCTGGCCAGGTGGTCCTGCTGGGGCCTGTGGGTCATTGAAGAAGGGAGCAAAAGTCTTCATTTTTAGCCCTTCAGCCCCAGGAGAGAAGATGATTCTGATGGGGTCATGATTCACAGGAATGCTGTCCCAAGTGTGCAGGATCTCAAACTCTGCTTGCATATTCGGCCTGGAAGTAGAATTGCATATAAGGACTATGAGGTTCCATCCGGCCCTAGTTCAAGAAATGAAATGCATTCTTACAAAGAGTCGCAACTCAGAGTCACGCAGATGACCGTCACAAACTGCAGTCCGCGAACTAAGCCCATGTTGTCCTTCCAAGAATCCAACTCAACGAACGAGCTTCGCATGTTAGTCTCCTAACCACTTCAACTTTTCCCGTCCTGGCTGTTAATTACTTTACGCAATGCGTTATCATATTAGGTTAATGTCTAACGCAGTTCTGATCATTCACATCTTATCAAGCTCGTAAAACGAATTTGCTTAGGTAAGAAGCAAAAGTAACCTACATATGATTTCAGACCTGTCCTGGTAGCAGTAGTCGAGTTTATGAACTAACAATATGACATTGCCCCTCAGTGGAGAATATATCGGTGAAAATGAAAAACTTAAAACTTTTTGCAAGCAGATACTGTATGTGAGTGCAGTTGTGCGTTTGACAGTAAACTGCACTCAGCAGTGCCTGCAGTTCTTATCGTCGAGGGCAGAACTGTTTTGTTTGGTAAATTGTACACATCGGAACAATTAATATGGTGCACAGCTTAGCTGTCATTGGCTGCTGCTTGTTGTCTTCAAAACGGACGGCGCACCTCTCAAAATTATTGCGCTCAGTTTTATCATAATTGTTAAAACAACAGTTATCAAACTGTAAAAGTAAATCAATTACCGCATCGAATGTAATATTTTGGCTACTTTAGCTAACCAATTGCTAGCGGACGTTGATTAGCGTGCTTCCTGTCTTATCCACTGTATAAGAAGCATTAGCTAGCGCCGGTCTTCTCTCTCGATACACTTTTTAAAGTTGATACAGTTATTCGCAAGCCTGGTCGTGCTTCGTATGCTCCAAACAAAAGCAATGCTAATTTTGTTCCTGGGTCCGTTTGATGCGCTTGCATGATTTTATTTGCCTCGGTCTAGGGTGTACCAACCAACATGGAAACTGAGGTCGAATTTCTTCGTGATCAAGGTAGGTAAACTGAAAATGAATCATAGTGAACGGGAAATGAGTATGTGGATAATTTAAGAGGAAAAACTGCAGCAGTTCGTGTTCTCAGTCCGTAGGCTGAATTCTTCTCTCGGTCGGTATCAACGTGAGGGGAATGCACGGACCAAACCATCTCAGGTATACACGCAAAAAATAAACATGTTATTTTTTACATTTCACTTTACTAATAGATTATTTAGTGAACAATATAGTTGGCTTAAGTCGGGGAGGGCCAGGGACTGATGTGTGGAGGAGAGATTTCACGATGCATAAAATGTGCTCGTATGCTTGAGTTCAGTCTGAATGATATGTGAGTACGACATACCGCCCTCTTACCAAACCTTTTTTCCCCACAGGTTGAAGATGCAAAGAAGACAGAGTTTGATGCTCCCTGGCTCTCTGATCGGAGGTCTGACACAACAGTCACGTCGTCTCATTGTACATTTTAGACACAATTTTGTAACAAATCATTGAGATTTGTAAGTTGAGTTGTGTCTTGATGGTTGGAATGTACGACTCATAAATTATAATTACATATTATTTTTCTGTATTCCAGCATAATGGCTCCGCTGATAGCCGAGTATGATCGCCACATTGATGAAATGTCTCAACAGCTGCAGAAATACCAGGTGAAAACCACAAGATGAGTGAATTAACAAAACGAGGCAGTCAAAGTTATGGAAAAATATAACTTACCTCTTTAGTCATGAATTTAAAGGACATAAAGTTTAAATTATATTGTAGCTGATCAAAGGACGGTAGTTTTCTTTTTTATGTACCAGTATCTTACTGTAGCCCACACAAAGTGACAAAACTACATGTGATTAGGTTAATTCATTTCTTATTTAGATTTGAGTGATCTGACTAAAGATGTCGAGTTTAGCTGACATTTATTTTCAGCCCCCTTCTCAATTTTGTTCACGTCGTTGTCTATTACAGAGTTTTTACAGGTGCTTGGAACACTCAATGTACTGAAATTTATTATTCAAGATTTTTGTATTTCAATATTTTATAAAGGTGATGGACATGTGGAAACATTTTTAAAGGATTTGGGATTTTAGAGGATGAGATTTAGTTTTCATCTGTTTTTTTTTTTTTTTCTTCACTGCTCATATAAAACCGTTTTCTTGTTAAAGTATTGTTGAATGTTGAGATTTATGTACTTTGGCTTCATGTACTTGAATTCTTGTCTTCAGGTGTCCATGACAGATGTCAAAGAAAAGTTGGAAATTGTTGTCCAGGAAAATGAAAGGTATCTGGCTTCTTTTGGTGCCTGATACAGTGCAACTGAAAATTATTCGCAGCACTTCACTTTTACCATCTTTTATGTTATAGCCTCATTCCAAATTGGAATAAATTAAGTTTCCCCCTCAAAATTCAACACACAATACCCCATGACGACAATGTGAATGTATTTTCATTTTTTTTTTTTATACATTTCTGCTAATTTATGTACATAAACAAAACAAACAAACAAAAAAAAACCAAGGAAATTACATGTACATAGGTATTCACAGTCTTTGCCACAAAGCATCCCGAAGCTTCTCACAGCCATCATTATCCACCTGTGATAGTGGATTTCTGGAGGCATGAATCCGGAGAAGGCAACAGAAATGTTTGTGCTGCTTTGAAGGTTCCGGTGAGCACAGTGGCCTCCATCCATCCATAAATGTAAAAGTTCATAACCAGCAGGACTCTTCCTAGAGCTGGTCGGCCATCTAAACTGAGCAATCAGGGCAGAAGGTGGGCAGGATTCGACATTATGGCCAATGGCGTGGGGCCACGATGTAACCGAGTAGTGGTAAGTGGTAGCTTCACCGTTGCTTTTTGAAAAATCATGAACATCGATGATGAACTTTGACATCGATTGATTGAATCTTGGCATATAAAATCTCAATAGCTGAGTGAATTGATTTTGGGGGTTGCACACCCCTAGTAACTGTCAGGCCCCTCAAAAGTTTGCTCATGTTGGCCCAATAGCCATACTACATATTCCATTAATACATGTGCTGAAATCAATGCGTTCTTGCCTTTTAAAAAATATTTCACATTAAATATTTTGTTTTATCTACTTATTGTTCATCATCATTGATTTTCTTTTTAAGTCACAGCAAACATGTTTTTTGTGTGTCAGGTTATAAACATCTATAACTAAGCGCTTGAAGAAGATATATAGCCCAGAAAATGTCAAATGTTAAAAATTAAGAAAGATTGGAGTGCAAAAATCAAGCACACAAAAGAGTAACGACACCGAAGTAATATTTTTTTAAAGGCTTAAATAATACAGCTTAAAGATGCTAAAGAATGCTATGAAACAATCATTGAAACATACCCAAATATATCATGAATACACACGACTCCTTAGTAATGCACACATGGCAGCCCCCCTGGAGTTTGCCAAAAGGCACCTGAAAGACTCAAGACCATGAGAAAGAAAATTTTCTGGTCTAATGAGACAAGGATAAAACTCTTGATTCTTGAATGCCAGGACTCATGTTTGGAGGAAACCAGGCACTGCTCATTACCGAGCTAATACTCTCCTTACAATATCCCTACAGTGAAGCAAAATGGTGGCACCATCTGGATGTGGGGATGTTTTTCAGCGAGAAAGATGAATCCAGCAATGTACAGCGACATCCTGGATGAAAGCCTCCTCCGGGAGTGGTCAGGGCCTCCGACTGCGGCGAAAGTTTTACTTCCAGCAACATGACCCTCAGGACAACTCTGTGAATGTCCTTGAGTGGCTTAGCCAGAGCCCTGACTTATATCTGATTGATTAATTCTGGAGATATCTAAAAATGGCTGTGTACCATCGCTCCCTATCCAACTTGATGGAGCTTGAGAGGTGCTGCAAAGAGTAATGGGTGAAACTGCTCAAACATATGTGTGCCGAGCTTGTGGTATCATCTTCAAAAAAACTTCAGGCTGTAAATACTGCCAAAGGTCCAACAACAAAATCTTGACCAAATGTGAAGACTTATTTACTTTTTTTTTTTTTTAATTATCAAAAAAAAAAAATCAACATTTTTTTCCACGTTGTCATTATGGTTTGAGGGGAAAAAAACGAATTGATTCCATTTAGGTATGACGGTGTAAAAAAAAAAAAAAACCCAAACATGCACATAGTGAAGCGCTGTGAATACTGTACTTTCATTATGCGATGTATTTCTGTTATTGTGTTATGCCAAATTGAGATTGAACATGTCCACGCAGAAGGTGTGTCCATATTGCTGGTAAAAATTGTAAAAAATGCTGAGATGCAGAGATGAACAATAGCAGTCTCACATTTAGAATCCGATGCATGAATATTAATAACTACATCAGTAATTAAATGATAAAGACAGACATCCTGTCTGTGCTTGTTTCATTTATAAGGCATGCATATTGTGCAACTCAAAAAAGCCAACCTTTGACCTATCTGTGTTGAGGGACTCGAATTGATGGATTAAGATCCCAGGCACAATGTTAAACTGTGATTCTCCCAGCGGAAGCGGTTTAGCAGGAGGAGCCGCCACAAGAGCTGTAGCGGATCAAAGTTATGCTGCTGCTAAGTAATTTAAGTACAGCATCCATTTATTCATCAATCTATTCTCGAAACCGCTTTTCCTTTCTTTGGTTTGCGAACGTTCTGTCGCCAAACAGAGCCCCCCCTCCCCCCTCACACACACACACACACACACAAAGGAAAAAAAAAAAAGAGTGTGACTGAAACGTGCTTGTGCAACCAACTGTGGTGGTTGCTTGTACCAGTGCTGTCAATGGAAAAGTTAGAGCTCTGTCTCCTGAAATGATTTAGCTTGGTCGCGATTCTTTCGCATTCCGAAAATGCTGGCAATTGAACAGTTTGGTATGTAGTAGATATCCATTGTAGCATAAACATTCCTTCAAATCTGCAGTCATTTCAGTCATTTTACTGATGAATGTTGGTCAACAATATTTGCATGACAATACTTATACTGTATTTGATTGTAATCTAGACAAATGCTTTGTGAAATGTTTGATATTATTTTCACTAACCTGGCAGGCTGCATGCAGAAATGAGGGAATCGGTTGAGAAGCAGCTTCAATCAGCCTCAAACATCCCTGGAGTGGAGATGAACATTTTGGAGGAGGAAGCAATGGTTAAAAATCTCCAAGAACAAGTCAAGCTTTCGGAACAGGTCTTCATACTTTCATATGTGATTACTCCCTGTTTTGACTAGTACCGGATATGTTTTGCTCCTTTTTGAAACAGAAATGAATTCAAGCAATATGGTTAGATTTGAAGGAAGCGTTGAGGTTCCAGTTAATGTTACACATGTGCAGCCCTCTTGTTATGCGCAGTTGATATCCAGCTGCCTGTTGCATCTACAGTCTTGATTGAGCGGTTGATCTGCATTCGTACCTCACCTATGTGGCCAGAGTTTACTCTGCAAGATGTGCCGACTCTCCCTTAGAGATAGTTTGACAAGTTCAGTCATCCAGGAGGGGCTCAGAGTGGAGTTGCTGTTCATCTGCTTTGAAATGAGCCATCTGACGTTGTTTGGGCATCTGATCAGGATGCCACCTCGATGAGGTATTAGAAGTCCTGGGGAGTCCTCCCCAGGAGTTCTCCCCATTGCCCTGAGAACGTCTCAGAACCTTCCCAGAAGAGCTGGATGAGGTAGCTGGCGAGATGGAAGTCTGGGCTACCTCCCTTAAGATGGTGTCCCCACGAATCGACCCTGGAAAAGCGGAAGAAGATGGATGGATGAAGTGCCTGAATAATGGAAACTCACTATTATTTTTAATGTTGTATGGTTGATGACCCTTTCCCTTCAAATGTTTCATGGCTTTGAATGTGTTCTGTGTATTTGAGTAGGAGCGGATGCAAGCCATGGAGTTGTGGCAGACAGCAGCACTGGAGCTTGATCGTCTCCAGGAGTTCTACCAGAAGAACCTCACTGATAGGCAGAGTGCTGATGCTAAGGAACAGCAGCTCAAGGTACTCCTCATAGACTTTAACAGCAAATTTGTTTGGTGCTGTATTACGATTAATATCATAGTACAAATCAGGGCAGGGGCAAGAGGGAGCTTGGCTCCCTTAAATAAATGTTGAGCCCACCCATACTAAATCCCCCAAAATACATTCAATTTCACATATTTTTACTAACATGTGCCTCTCTCCTCTGCTGCTTACTGTCTTAATTTCATGTGTATTACTCTTTTTTTTTTTTCAGTTGATTACAGCAGTGGTCCCCAACCTTTTTTGCCCCACGGACCGGTTTAATGTCAGACAATATTTTCAAGGCCTTTAAATACAACAAAATAATATAATATGACCGCCATGAAAACTGTAGTATTTTCGAAACATAATAATAAACACGAATCATGACACGAAGAACGTCCTATCTGGCCGCCACATTCTCTGGTCGCTATTGTAATGTTTAAACGTGCCTTCAAAATAAGATTCACCGCAAAATGCATGAAAAATACGACTCACCATCGCTGCATATTATGCAGAGTGGGCTTGTTGCGTGGGAATCTTCCATTGAGATAAATCCGTATTTGAAGTCGGACTCCTGATACTGTCTATTTCTTGAAAGTTGTAGGCTCCTCTTCGGTCACCTGGCTGGCCCATTTCCCCTTTCCAAAGATGGTTGTTTTTTACTCATTTTGCTCCTGGGTTTCATTTTTAGCGGTAACCTATCATGTGACCGAGAAGCGCACCTGACCTACGTCAAATGTGACACACTGTCAAAGGATGTAACAGAGAATCCGATCATTTTTCAAAATAAAACATCTTTCAGATTCCGAAATAAATAAAATGGAAGTGATGTAAGTTATTTATTCTTTCTGTGCGGTCCGGTACCAAATGACCCATTGACTGGTACCGGTCCGCGGCATGAGAGTTGGGGACCACCGGATTACAGGATACCAGGATGCCTTCATTTTTGGACATGTTTTTGACATGCCTCATGGTCGTATCCAGTAGACATAAGTAACTGCTAAGTTGTTTTGTTTTTCTAGGCTAATAGCCCTTGTTGCGTTTCTTGAATTGTATTTAAAAAAAAAAAAACATCCTCCTTAGGGTATTATAAAAATTTAGAAAAAGCTAAGACTTATACCACCAGAAGCTAGTCTTCATTGGGACACCCAAGTTGGGAAGGCCTTAGGTTAGAGACCTGACAAAGTGCAGTCAGTTTAGGTTGAGGGTAGGGCATACAACTAACTCTAACCTAAGTTCATACATTGTTAGTCTAACAACAACAACCACAGTAAAATAAGTGTGCCAAGCATTTGAGACCACAGTGCTTTACAAACACTTGTTTAGTGTACCCGCATACAAGTGAGTGAATTTGTCATTTCGACAATGCCCCCTCAAGATTTGTGCCTGCCCCCTTATACATGCCTGTCTCGACCCGGCCTTGGTACTAATTCAGATCATTGAAAGATTTTGATCTTACCTGATTGAAATTATGAGGCAAATACAAACTGCTTTTATTGTCGCAGGATCAAATTGTAGTTAACCACCAGCAGACACACCAACTCCAAGTGACCAACCAGGAACTACAATTGGTATGTAATGGCAAGACCATGCTAGTACTTCTTCTGCATGTTTCGTAGCTCTCACATGTATGGACCTGCACACAATCAGTATACAGGTACAAATAGAACCTTGACTGGAGTCGGATGAAGAGAGAGTAACACAATACTTATCTAATGTATTTTTAATGAGGACAAAGCTAGGGCTCTCATGAGAGAACAGTTGCAAAATAGCATTGTTGTCAATTCATTTTGAAAGTTTCAACAGTTTGTTTTGAATCAAAAGAGTACAACAAGAACAATGCTCCACAAATGGCAAACTTGTGTCTCTTGTCACACACAGACCAATCAACAGCTAATAAAAACGGTGACAGAGCAGAGTACGGAGATGGAGGGGCTACACAGCCAGCTCAGGTAACTAAATAACTTTTTGATTTACAATGCCTATCACAGAAGTTCATCGTCCACGATTATATTCTGGCGACGGTTGATGGGTTCAGGATCCAGCAATACTGATGGCTGTTATAGTGTAATAATTGGGGATAATGGTTCGGAAAAGTAACTATTGACTGAATTGTTCTCTGGCTATTGTGTTGTAGAACGACCAAAGGTGATTTGGGGACAGCCACAACCAAAGTGGAAGAAATGAACAAACAGCTCCAGTTAGTTCAGCACCAGCTAAAGCGACAGGTGAACAAATACATATTTTAGAATATGATAATTTGTTCTTCAGTGGACTTGCCGAAACAGCTGTTTTATTTTTATTTCCGATTGTGGAGGATCATTAAGACTGTCGTTTTACACACATTCAATGATTTAGACCGGGGTGCCCAAACTTTTTGGACCGAAGATCTACTTTTCGATCAACTAACCTCCCGGGATCTGCCCTTACGGCACACACACACACACACACACACCCACACACACAC